CCCCACAGCACCCCTTGGCTGCCAGCTCCTGGGTGCCCCAGCGCTGCGTGGGCAGAGCCACCCCACGGTCCTGCTCAGGGCTTTGGGGGAAAAGGCTTTGGAAAAAGAAAGAGAGCAGCTGGGGGGGGGTGTCATGGTGTCCCCCCTCTCATCAGTGGCTCTGGGGATAGCCCCCCAGGCCTGGCCAGGCTGGTTTACCCCCAGGGCTGCCCAGTGTTGGCAGTGCTAGAGACCGGTCCCACAGGACAGCAGTGATGCCCCGCTGTCCACCCCCCAGTGCCCACCAGTGGGGAACAGGGTGATGAACCCCATCATTCAGCCTTGGGGTCTCCAAACTGGGATTTTTCCCTCCTTTTGATGGAATTCTCTGGCCACTTTCTCTGGCCCCTGTGGGGGGATTATACTCGGATGGGCACAGCCATAGGGTCCCCAGGTGACAGGCATGACTCCAGGGCTGCAGCAGATGGAGCGAGCTCCCCTGGGTGCCCCATGTCCCCTGGATCTGCCATAGGTGTCCCCTGGGTGCCATAGCTCCCATGGGTGCCCCCCAGGTCCCATGGGTGCTGTGGAGCCAGCGCAGGGCCAAGGAAGCCTGCAGAGGGCAACCGGCCCCTTCCCGGCGGGCACGGGGTGGACAAAGCCCCGCTGTGTCCCTCAATGCCCCGCTTTGTGCCAGGCAGTAAGGTGGCAGGGCCTGGCTGTCCCTGGGGCTGGGGACATTGCTGGGCTGGGGGGGGGGTCCCTGGGGCGTGACAGGCCAGAATCAGGGTGGGCCACCATGTGGGGACCCCTGCCCCTTCCTCGTCCACCCAAAGAACCACCCCTTGGCTTGCCCACGGATGGGTTTTTGGGGGGAAACACCACTTGGGCAGCTGTGCAAATGCTGCCAGGGCTTCATGGTGGCCAGCTGCACCCCACATCAGTGGGACCCAGCTCCTGGCCCCCCAGTACAACTCCCTGCCTCGCTTTCCCCCAGTGGGGCAGGGTGGCAGAGGGCTGCCTGGTGTCCCCAGCCAGCTGTGGGAGCTGGGAAGGGCTCAGAGGGATAACAGAGCAGGGAGACCCTCTGCCACCACTGTGGTGGTATCCTTGGGCACCTCCCTTAGCTCTCCAGGTGGGCTGGCAGCTATGTGACCCAGACATGGTCACCTCCTAATGGCCATGGGAGGGTGACAGCCTGGCAGCATCCCTTTGGAAATAGCCCACGACCCCTATGGCCACTGGAAACCAGCAGGGCCCAGCCTGCGGGGGGGGGTCCCTGGGGCGTGACAGGCCAGAATCAGGGTGGGCCACCATGTGGGGACCCCTGCCCCTTCCTCGTCCACCCAAAGAACCACCCCTTGGCTTGCCCACGGATGGGTTTTTGGGGGGAAACACCACTTGGGCAGCTGTGCAAATGCTGCCAGGGCTTCATGGTGGCCAGCTGCACCCCACATCAGTGGGACCCAGCTCCTGGCCCCCCAGTTCAACTCCCTGCCTCGCTTTCCCACAGTGGGGCAGGGTGGCAGAGGCCAGAGCCAGCTGTGGGAGCTGGGAAGGGCTCAGAGGGATAACAGAGCAGGGAGACCCTCTGCCACCGCTATGGTGGTATCCTTGGGCACCTCCCTTAGCCCTCCAGGTGGGCTGGCAGCTATGTGACCCAGACATGGTCACCTCCTAATGGCCATGGGAGGGTGACAGCCTGGCAGCATCCCTTTGGAAATAGCCCACGACCCCTATGGCCACTGGAAACCAGCAGGGCCCAGCCTGCACCCCAGGACAGCGCAGGGGGATCCCCAGCCAGCAGGAGGAAAAAAAAATGACATAATTTTCCCCAAAAAAATTATATTGTATAAAATATAATATATAAAAAAATTAAATATGGTGTTGGAGGGAAAAAAATATAAGCCCTTCTTTTTCTTTCCATATAGTTTCTAAGTAATTGCTGACTCTGCAATTTCTGAGCAGCCTGGGATGAAGCAGCAGCGTTACCCCATCGGGGTGAATGTGGGCAAGTAAGAGGGACTGTGATTTCTGCACAAAGTGGCTTAAAATTCCTGGTGATCGGGCACTGTTTATCGGAAAGCATTTCCTTCCTGGGATATAACCCCCTGCCCAGGGCTGCCATTAGCATCACCCACCGGTAGCAGGGAGATGGGGAAAATCCCCTCCCTGGATTTCTAAGGCTTGAAGGAAAAGAAAACATGCAGGAAAGAGGTTGAGGTTGCCTTTTCTCCACCAGCGTGGCGAGTACCCTGCCCCAAGCTGCTGGGTGGGCAACCAACAGCGCACCCCAAACGCTGCACCCTCTGCCCACAGGGGTGGGGGGCAGAGCCCTGGGTGTATGGGTGGCCACTGGGTTGCCAAAAAGCCTTTTTTGTATCCCTCTCCCTTTGCATTTCAGCTGGAGAGGTTGCAAGAGCTTCTCCTGGGCATCCTCAGCACGCTTGGGGCAGTCCTGCAGCTCAGCCCCCTCCCTGGATGATCCCCCCCCAAACCCCACCCCAGGGCCAGTGTGTGGCTGTGGGGGGAGCCTGCCAGCCCTGCCAGCCCGCATAAAAGTTTCCTTCTCTCCTCATCCCTGCCAGAGAAAATGCTGCTTTTTCTCAGGCAGGGAAGGGGAGACGCATCCCCGTTTGCCGGCCAGGAGGGGGCCATGCCAGGCTGGTAAAAATAAACATGCTTATAAATCAATCCGGATCACCTTGCAATTTGTTCTGCCTCTTGGGCAGTGGCCAGTTATGTCCAAAACCACCACCACCTCCCCACCCCCCCAACAAGGCAATTAAGGGCTTAGCTACCTGCACTCATTAATAGAGCCTGGGATGACCACGCTGCCCCTTGTGAAGTGTGCCAGGGGCTGGACATGGAGAAGGCTTTCTTTCCCCAGCCACCCCTAATCTGCACTAAGACACTGCACCTAAATGAAGTTTTTGGAGGAAAACACACGCACACATCTCTGAATACACCCCCTGTATGGTAAGACCTCTCTGGGATGTTTGTGGGTCCTTCTCTTCCATCCTCGGTGCTCCACAACTCCAGCTCAGACTCGAGCTTTCCCTGGGCCACGGGGAAGACAAATTTGGGGCTGGAGGGACAAGCAGGTGACAAAGGGAGAACCAGATGGGCACCGCCGATCTGCACCTCTCCACCACCTCGGGGCAAAGCAGGGAGATGGGAAAACCAGCAGGAGCATATGGGGCAGAGGAGCAAAGCATCCTCCCTCTCCCCATCCCCATATGCGGCCACCTCACCCCTAATCCCCACAGACAGCCTGTCACACCCGCTCCCGTCACCCTGATGGCACGGGACAGCCTCCTGCTTGCCCTGGACCCCCCCCGGCACACACTGGGCACACGGGCAGCCCTCCCTGGGGTGAGCTGGGAGGCAACTGGGAGACCAGCTGGGAGAAGAAGGTTTCCAGCTCACAGCCCCGCAGTTTCAGAGAGGAATTTTTCACTTCCATCCCTGTGGGCTCATTTTCTGCACTGCCCTGGGCACGGGGCTGGGTTTTCAAAGATGCACAGTGGCCAAAATCGCACAGTCCTCCCGTGGGTGCTGACCCTGCAAGACACAAAAATCGCCCCCCCTAAACCTGCACCCCCAAAAAGGCAGGCACAGCCCCAATGCACCCAGGAGGTGCACCCAGGAGGACCCAGCCGTGGCGCAGGCAGCGCCGTTATCCATTATACATGGGGCAGCGGGAGAAATCCCGGTGTGTCTTGTCACAGCAGAGAACCTTGCTGCTATTTTTAGGCAGCCTGCTTCCCCGGCCAGCCTGAATTTCTCCTCATCTGCTGCTGATTTTTAACCGTCCTTCTTCAGGCACCTCAGCTGCCCGGGTTCACCCATCAGCGGGGTAAAACCATCTCTGGATGGGGAACCCAGGATGTGCCCTCTGCCATCGGGTGCCCCAGAGGCAGCCAGGGATGACCTG